CCCTGAGGCAGCCATAAATTGGATCCAATAATGAGAGACTGTAATGATTGTCTCTGCATTTTTAGTCTTGATTTTCAATTATATATTGCTGATATTATTGTTCTGGATGCTGTGTGTTGTGGTATTTAATTGATCCTCTCTGTAGAAATTAACTCAGTGTTTTTACTGCGCAAGCAAGGGAAGCATTGTCATCAAGTGAGGTTTATTATGACCAGCCAAGAGTCCAACAGGGTTACGCAAACATAAATCTTTCATACCATACAATAGTGGAAAGTAAGGAAAGTGAACTGTGAACTTAACTGTTTTTAAGACATCATCAGAGTGAACAGTGGGCAGCTTTGAGGAGCAGTGTGTGGGGACGGTGCCATGTTTAGAGCACCTCAGTGGTAACTCAGCAGTTGGTGGACTCAAACCTGAAGCCTTCCGGACCTAAGTCCACTTCCCCACTTAGCCACCACTGCTCCCAAACAAAACATTTAAATATTTGTAGAGTTTCTAAGAATTGAATACAGTACACAACACAAATGTATTGACTGCACGCCATTCTCCTTTTAACGCTATCAATAATGTCAAAGATGAAAACTGTCAAAAATTGCTGCTAAATGTGCATGACCTTTGGTCCTTGAACATTGTTGCAATAGAAACCAACATGCCATGATGGACAGAGACACAGTGTTTTAACAGTTTTTCTTTAAATAATGTTGTTACCAATTTACAGACATGCATTCTATTTCAGTGACAAAGGAACTTAGAGTGACATAGAGATATTTCCTTATCCACACCATTAAGGACACTGAATAGTGAAATCCTTGTTTCATTCCAATTTTCAAAGCTTTGAAGAATCCAGCGGTTGGACTTGGGCTGCCTCACCAAGCATGTCTTCTGTTCCACTGAGCACACAGTAGCTTAGGGATCAGCCTGTGTCCCTGACAGGAATGTGTGTTACTGAGTGTTGGCCTGTCCACTGAGCAGAGCTGCAGGCCTCAGATCAGTGGCATTGGCTGGCCTACGGGTTGTTCTTTATGGCTGTGTCGCTGAGTGGCTGGCTTTCCGCTATGCACACGGCAGCCTTCCAGATGGATGCTGGGACAGTGGAGGCCACAGGGCTGAAAATCCCATCAAGCAGTAGTTCCAGGCCCTTGCACTGAGAAGATGAAGCGCACCGGCACGCCAGGGGACACGGGCCAAACCCTTCTGCACCTCTATCAGTCCCCAACTCTGATTCCTTCTTGCCCCTTTTTTCCCACCCACATCCTTTTCTTCCTTTTACAGGAGAAGACCCCGAGCCCAACCAGCCAGAATATGGAGTGCGGCCCTCGGGGTCTCTGGCCTCCGCTTGTTAAATAAAGGAGCTGACTGGCTGATTGATAGACCCTCAGCAGTCCCTGCACCTCACATGTTTCCCGGTTCGCCGCCTCATATATGAAACCTTTGTTGGACTGGCTTGCCTTAGCGTTTGTTAAATGCTGTGTTTGATGGATGGCACCAATTTTCCTCTCAAACCTAGATGAGCCACCTAAGCACCTCTCCCCTCTCTCCTGATTTCTTCCCAGGTAAACCTTGAGCTCATGTGGGGACAGGAGTGCTCCAAAATGGTATCAATCAAACAAGCTGGGGCGCATCTGTAGCTGCAACGCAATGTTTCAATTATGCATCTGTTCTGGAGTGCTTGACATTTTGTTCAACCCCGTAAACTCACTGAAGCAAAGAGGCAGAGCTCTGTCTGCTATTATCACTTTAATTTTACGATTCACTTTTGAATGTCTGTCGCCATTTCTCCTGAACTTTGTGAAGAGTTGCATTCGGTGAACTCAGTGATTCAAAGCCTTAAAACATCAGACAAATCTGACCTTTTTGATTTTTATTATTATTATTATTTATACAATTTTAGATTAAACTGAAACTTTTTATTTACAGTATATTAAAGCACAGGTCCCTAAGCAGTAACTACAAATAAAATGTATTAACTGACCATATATGCTTTAGTAACTAATTACAGATTTAATAGTAATTAAAATACATCATTTGACTTATGCAAAAGATAAATATGAAATATATGTGGTTGTCATTTCAGCTGAACTGACCAAACTAAATGTTATTTAGGTTTCAGAATTAGCAGTGAAAAAATGGATGTATGTTAAAATAACAGAGACAGACAACAGCTAAAGATTATAACGCAGCTCAAGTTTTTATATAGGAAAAATTGATAAGAATACTACACGCAAAACTGCAGCAATTGGTATCCTCAGTTACTGGAGGATGATATTTTTGAGAGTGCTGCAATTATCTCATTTTTCGGTGAAACTAAATGCATCAATTATCTATAAAAATGTATGTGTTTCCTTGTGTTCTCCACCACTTTGTCTGATAAATTACTTTTCAGTGCAATACTACATTAGAGATATTTTATTGCATTTTAGAAGAGTGTGCCCTTTGGTTTCATAGTGACAAATATTTAAGTGCACTTACACACTGTTAGTTTCATGAAGCCCAGTTTTAACATTATATATATGATATATTTTTTAAAACATCATCAAACGCTGCTTCCAGCCAACACTGCTGGTCTGCCCCTGTAATGCCACAGGCATGCTCCGAAATACACGAAGGCGGCAGAGGAGTGTCAGCCTGATGCAGTGAAGCAAGCAGACAAGTGAGAAAGATAAACAGATGTGAGATCGGTCTCTTGGGCGTTGGGTTCATTTGTTACCTAGCGAGGACAGACATATTCCTGTCAGACAAGCCATGGCAGCAGCAGATGCGAGGTCATTCTAGTTACAGAGTAAAAATCTTGGGTTAAGGACAAAGATTCTCACTTCACACATGAGACGGCCATGGGGCTTTATTTCCCCTGTGGTCACCCTATACAGAAAATTGCCATTCAGAGTAAAGCTGCAAGAGAAAATAAAACCCCCTGCAAAGCCATTTTGTTTTTAATAAAAGTGAAGCTTATTCATCACTGTTTGTCTTCGCAAGTGAGAGTTAACAGTTTGAATATGGAATTAGCTCGTGTTTATCTGTGATCATTTCAGTCAACAAGCTTATGCATATAGAATATCAGAAGCTGTTGATACATGCCATTAGTTGGCATTATAAGTTATTATCTCAATGTGTTAATATTTGTGTCTGAGAAGTGGTGTTCGACACAGCAATTGCCGTACATTTATGCATATTTAAGTCTTTATTTTCATTTGTAATCAGCATCAGTTTTGTTTAGCGTTGTCCTACCACACCACTGAAATACTGAGTGTGTGTGTGTGTGTGTTACTGGAAAGGACAGAGAGCAGACAGACTTGTGGAAGAAGGATATGAGGAGGTACTTGAGACACACTGGCTCCTAACCAGAACAACTGCTGTCTGTTTTCTGCAGATGGACATACAGGTGGGCTCACAGGTGGGAAATAAAGCTGGGGACAGGAGTGTGTCTGCCAGTTTTTATCCTGTGTTTCCGTGTGCGTGCGTGTGTGCGTGTACACAACATCTGGAACGTCTACTGTGTCATGTCAGAGAGGAAATTCATCAATGAAACTACAGTGCACCCTTCTGGACACCTGAAGCACCGCAGCGCTCGAAGAAGTGTGCTTTTGAAATGTTTCGTGATTATATTAGTCTATATCTCTCGGTATTTACCTTTAAACAAATTCTTGTTTTAATTGGTTGGGTTGTTTTAATAACAAAGCGGCCTATCTTAATCACCCCAGCTTTTAATTGCTTTTAAACAATTAGTAAAAGTGCATTTTTATTATAAAGAATAAGCAGACATGTCGACTGTTTTCTTCTAATTTAAAATACAATTACATTTTCTCTTACTGTGGATGATAAAATGTGTCAATCCACCTCTGAGAAATTAGCCAGTTGCTCGCAATGCTCCTTACATACATTATTTTCCCAGTCTATAAAAATGGGCAAAACCAAAGAGTATGATTGCAGAAAGCAAACCAACAAATAGTATTGATCTTAGCAACACGGTGACAGCTAATCAATGAATGTATGTCCTCCCTGCACGGGCTGCAAGTCGAGATCGATTCTGAATAAAAAGATGAGGCGTTGGCCAATAAAGCCAAATAGTTCTGAGCCATGTCCCATTGTTGTGAAATGGAATAAATTCCCCAAATACAAGAAGGATTGACTGCAGCTGTGAGGGAAGGTACAGCTGGCCCATTAGGGATCAACAATCATTTCTAACGCTGTAATTCTTATAAACATTGTTGCTAATACCATGTACTGTAGGGGTCGTCTTTCCTAATCTGTGTCTGGCAATACACTTTTATATCAGATGATCTCTGGCCTCACATCATGAACCTCCAGATGATTTATTGATCTGACCACAGGCTTCAAATGACCCGCACAATTGTTTCATCAGCTTGTCATTATTGGCCCATGATGAGCCAGGTATCAAAAAGTTAGAAAAGTCTCCCACGGGCGCCTCCTTCAATGTGGTTTTGATGGGCACATTAGTTTTCATATATTGCAAACTCATGAGAGGTTATAGGTTGCTATTGGCTGCTGATTGCATGCTCAGAATACTGACCTGTCTGTCTGCATTGGATTTGCTCTCTTGTGTTTTATCTGTTTGTGGTAAACATAAAATGTTGTCCACATATCAGTGTTTTTTTTTACATGGGATTATTCAGATTTTTTTTTTCTAATTAAATGACCATATTACATGAATCACAGCTGCAGAAAAATTGTTAATTTAAGTCAAATAAGTTTATTTTGCAACTGCAAGGCATTGATCTGAACAGATTCTTGCAATGCTTGCTCAAACATACTGCTGTCACAGGAAATACAGTATATGGTAGTGAATTCACCTGCAGGGGTGCTACCATGTGTCTGTATTTTCTCCTTTGCCCTTTTATCTTCAGAGTGACAATAAGCTGTTGTTTTAAAGCTAATGAAACAGTAGTGAGGTGGTAAATTTACAGGATAAGCCAAGCCTCAGAGAAGAACATTGTCAATAATAAATCTTTTAACCTGTGTCACAGAAGATATAAACAGTGATATTTTTGCATACTTCATCTTTATTTACAAGTAAAACAACACAAAGAAATCACACTTTCTTTTAATACAAAACCGGGGATTAAATATACACTCAGTTTGAAATTATGGCTATCCCTTAGTCACATTCAAAATGCTGTGAGCCTTTGCCACAGCAATATGATGCCAACATGGCACATTGGTTTAAAAACCTCACCGGTCCGAGCCAGCTTTTGGGTCTGGTCATTAACCCAGAGACTGATTTAGCCGCAGTGTTTGGCCTGGCCCAGATGCTGCGTAAGAACTGCTATTATTAGTCGGTGTTGTTGTGATGGCACAACGCCCAAAGGCACAAAGTCCAACAAGGTCAACTTGGCACTGGCATGTCCACACATCACATACTTTTAGTAGATAAGGCAGAGATAAAAAAAAAATCAATACATATAAACATTCAACCATTGCACTGAAGGGATGTCAAAAAATTTCTCATTATCTGCTTAACTTTATATAAGCATGTATTGTCTCGCTTCTTCATAATCAATATACTTTTCATGGTTACAAATTCATTTTACTTTTAATTTTAAAATAACATCTTTTTGTTAAAAAAACAAAACATGAAACAAACGGACATTAATACAGCAAAGGCATCACTCAAATGAACAAAATAATTTTAAACATGCATTGTTAAAACAAAGTTCCTTTTAATATGCCTAAAAGGCCAATAGCTCAGAGGTAATAAGTAGTATCAGTATTAGATAGTACCATTACTCTGCACTCAGAGTAAGTAAGTCATCTTTGAGCGAGTTAGCGGACGGTTCCAAAACAATACAGCCGGAGAAATGTGTTACCTGAGGAAAAGCATCAAATATTTAGTGCCATAGAGAATGGAGCTTCTTCTAGGCCAGTGGTTCCCAAAGTAAGGAGCAGTGCCTTAAGGGGGACATGGATATTTGTTGCACAAATATATAAATTATCTGAGGTCATTTGTAAAGATTTCTAATTGTGTTAATTCCAATGAAAATAGCAGGTTAGTAAGCCTTACAGTATTTTAAATAAGGTTTAGAAGAGTTTGGAAGCAACAGCTGTCAAAGTGTAAATGTGAGGGGCCCCAAGAATTATACTACTACAAAAGGCAAGCACTGCAAAATTATGTTTAGGAACCACTGTTTTAGACTAAGAGATGTTACTGTGTTGCAAAACCAGAGCTCATGCCATTTGTTATGATTAAACTTAAACTTATTTAATCTGATAAATGAAGCATTAAAACCAAACTTCCTGAGATGAATCCTGAGGCAGTGCAGGAGCCATAATCGCCACAGGTGTTTTTTGACATATTGGTTAAATGTAAAGATTCACTGCCTAACCAGTACCCAACACACACGTTGCTTTTAGTTTTGCTTCTTGTCTTCTAAAGGTTGCTGGACGCAAAAGGTTCACTAAGAGTAGATGATTGTACAAAAAAAAATCAAATATACATTGCTACATTTAGTTTACAAATTAAATATATAACAGCGTAATGCTTGATGGCAATTACTGCTGAACAAAATCACAGTTTAATTTTCCCTTTTGACATGAATTTCATGAAGCCAACAAAATGAGACTACCCACGTTTGAAAGATTAATTACACATTCTTCCTTGTCTGGATGAAGGCCTTAATTTATAAGCATTAATCTTCCTGTCCTTTACTCTGACACAGGCTTTCTATTTTTCATACATCTATTTTGCTTGTCTTATTTGATTTGACGTGTCCTGTAGCTTATTATGAATAAGAGTATTCATCTTTATTCAAATGGTTTCTGTAATCTTTTAACCGTTTGTTAACGGTGGCCATTAAAAATGTATCACCAAACCCGTCAAAAGTTACCACACAGGTGATTTTTCTGTGTGCACATCTATTCAAAAATATTCTTCGAAAATGATCCATAAAATCATTTTCATTAAAAAAATTATTCCATAAAAACTTGCCCTTTTTTTCCTACACCCAAACAAAATAAGCAATTTCATCCAGGTCTACTGGATAGTCTGTGAGATGATGCGGCTCCTTGATATCAAATCTTTCCCCTTTGTAACTTTTCCAACGCCCTGCAGGGAGATAAATGTCTCGCTCCTGCTTTCCTGGCTCTAAAACTGGAGCTACCATGAGGTCATCGCCGATCAAGAACTGGGAGTCGATTTTATAGGCTGTCTCATCACCTGTGGCAATCCACCACAGTGGTCTTATGATTGGGTCCCCAGTGTCCAGCACCTCACCAGCCAGTTCCAGGACCCGAGGTGCCACAATACTCTCATGGAGGGCTGTGTATTTCCTTGCAATTTCAACCACCTCGTTGTCATATTCCCAAGGTGGGATAGAAAACTGCATGGACGGCATGAAGGCTGACAGCTCTAGCCAGCGGATATAGAGTTCACGATCAGGTAACTCGCGACTTCCATCTGTGCGGTTCAAATAGGCATTGCCTCCAATCATGTCTGGTAGAATGAACTGGTAACCGAGAATACTAATGGTGAGCACAGTGGGAATAAGAGATTTGAGCCCCAATTCGTAACCCCACACAGAGTCTCTGTCAATTGGTCTGAAGAAGCAGGATATGTTCTGGGACTGGTAGCCGCTTCGAAGCTCAGCTCTATCGTTGTAGGGAATTGCCATTTCTGTGTACCGTCTGGTGAAAAAACTTGGATCTCGAATGGGAGTTCTTGTGCTAAATTTCCATGGTAAGTAGTTTGTCTCTCCCGCATCAAATTTAAAAGATGCCACTCCATACCTGGAGCGAAGTGAACGCAGCTGGGAGGAAAACCAATCACGTGCCGCTGAATTTGTGAAATCTAAAATGCCACCCATGCCATTCCACCAGCGCACCAATGCTGGTAAATGTCCTGTGGGCTCCCTGACAAACAGACCTCGCTCCACACATTTATGAAAGTTTTCAGAGTCATAATTGACAAAAGGGTGAATCCAAAGTGACACCAGAAATCCATCTGATTTCAGCTTTTGAAACATAGCAGAGGGATTGGGAAACTTTTTGGGGTCAAATTCAAACTCTCCATAGCGACTGGTGTAGCGGTCATCAAGTTCCAGGTGACTGCAGTTGAAGTTGTGCTTCCGTATGTTGCTGGCATAATCCAAGAGTTTCTCTTGATCAATTTTAGTCTTATGTAAGGCCCACGTTGACCAAATTGGATGTTGAAACATGGCTTTAGCCGGCACTTTGTTTGGTTTGTTGAAGTACCTTCGAACCATGTACTTGTGTATGGACGTCACATCTGAGCCCACACAGACTCTGTAGCTAAGTTCTGCACACGGAGCTTCCCCAGGGTTGGGCTTGAATGGACTGTCATTGTATCGAGCCTGGAAATACATGGTCTTCTCTGTGTCGTTCCAACCAAGGTGGAAGGGCACAGAATTATTGATCTTGATGGCTGTAGCATTGGAAGAGAGCCAATAACTCTCCAATATTCCACCAAACTCATTACGATTTGAATAGATGTCACTAGTAACAAAGGGTTTGGGGGCTTGTTGTCCAGAGATAGATATAGGCCAGTGCTGAATCGCGGAGACTGCTCCACCATACCAGTGTGCAAACTTGTATGTCATGGCATGCATAACAGAGATGTCAGGAACCAGTTCCTCCCAGCGCACACGGTAACACTGAACTGTGTCCTTTGGCCGTACAGTCTCTATGAAGAAGTTAAGTTTTCTGTCAGTGGTGCGTGAACAGCTCAGAAGCTCTCCCTCTTTGGAACAGGAATCCAAATCCAGGGTCCCAGATCTGCCAAAAAAGTTTTACTAGTTAATACATATATAGTTATTTTAGCAGTTTGTAGAACAAAATCTGTCTAATTAAATGAATTTAGACTAAATTTGTGTACTAACAAATCTTATTACATAGGCAAAATATTGGGGTAGAAACAAATGGATGTTAGCAAAGGACTTGAAGTCTGCTTACACTGAGCACCCACATGTCTCTGAATCTTGGTGGTTGCCTCTTTAAAAATCCTGACACCAAAACCTGCAACTAAACCTGTTAAATGAGCAACCTCCCCGCATGGTTTATTTATTTCTTACTTCTTCTACCCGTAAATGGCCTTGTCAAACTCAACCACTTGAACCATGGAACCATGGAAATACTGTAAGCTCTGTATCTCAACATGGTTTCAACATACTAACCTGAAATCCATTCTGAAAACAATGGAGCCTCCCTGGTTGCGGATAATATAGCCATCTTTATTCAGGTCCAGCAGCTGAGTCTTAAGCAGCTCAGCTTTGCGTAGAGAAGCAATGTAATAACACCACGCAGTCACTGCTGCAATTACCAGCACCAGGCCGATTACTCCAGCCCCGACTAAGGGTCGGGTGTCCTTGCTGTGTTTCTGCTTGGGGATAACATCTGTAATTGTGCCCCCTGCTCCTCCTGGCACCACTTGGTACATGACTTGTGCTGTTCAGTGGCCAAAAGAGAAGTAATTTTCATGTAAATGTTTTCAGTGGAGCCTGTTCTGTTGCACTTTTCTCCCTGTTGTTATGTCTGAAAGAGAGAAAGGTTAAAGCGGATTATAAAAAGTCAAGCTGAGGCTAAAAGCAGCATCATCTATTCTCATTTCACATCTAATTTTTGTTGAAAATGTGTTTTATACCAAGTCATTAACAAATTGTCAGACAGTGCTATAACCTTTGTACTTACCGGTTGGGAATATTTAGCTTGATTTAAATCAATTCAATACATTTTTCTGTGCATTTGTTTTTCTTGTCTGTCTCAGCAGTTCGCAGCCTCCACAACATTTCTAGCATCATCTGATGTGTGCTATGCCCCTGCATAAAACTTTAGGGCATTAAACTGTCAAAATGTAAACTTTAAAGATGTGTTTGAGATTTAACGGAACAAATCTACTACCAGTCAACTATAAGAAGAATAATAGCCATCCCCGGCAGTAATTCTAACGTATGAGCTCTGAAAGAAGACTTATTTGTATGTAAGGAAGCGAGGATATTGAAAAGGAGCTTTGGCCTTCAAGTTCTGCCAATAAAATGAGAGAAGGGAAGCATACTAAACTCTGTGCTCCCTCAAACAGGACTTAGAAAACTAAAAGTTGTTCAAATCTGCCTCATAACAAACCAAACACATAAAAACAGATACTGGACAGAACAAGATCACAGCAAAGGGTTGTCAGCTTTTTTAATATAATTATGTTGCAGATATACCATCATTTTCACTTCAAAAAATAGATTTAATCTAAATGCATAGCAGGTTGAAGGAAATGTTCTTTCTCTACAGCCTGGTTCTAGTCTTTACTGCAATTGACCTTTAAGCTCCATTGTGAAAGCAGGAGTCGATGGTAAAAAAAAATGCTTGCTATTAATTATCAATCTGATAATGACTAATTCTGTGTTAAACTATCCTGTATATAGATTTTCTCCGATAATAGGGGTGATAACATAAGACCATCATTAATTAACAGTGAACCAAGTGTTGTATCCTCTGAGAATCAGACACACTACTGCAGATATATTCAGGTAAATGTTGGTTGGTTGTTGACATATAAACAGGACTCTTGTCTAACACATGATTGTGTCATGTTTCTCCTTTTGAGAACAAATGACGAGGAAGACTTTCTTTGTGGCTGGTGTGTGTTTCCATGTGGTCAGTGGCGTTGCATATCTGCTTTTTCAGTCGATTTGCTATCTGTTCAGTCATGGAGGAAAAGTAAACACAAAAGTGCTGATAAAGCAGGTGAGGGTGTCTGAGAAGATACTGACTAAGTACTGTGCTTGAGTGAGTGTGTTTGTTCTCATTGTTTATAACCTGCTAAATGCATTTTCTTGTATTAGGTTGTTTTATCAGGACCAGTAGTCCTTATATTGTCAATTGGTCAATGACTACTTCAAAAAATATATACAAGGCCACATAAGAGGCATTTATGCACCAGCAATGTTGTATGCAGTTCTAATGCAGTTCACTTTTACACAGCGCCCCCTCCAGCAGAGGATGTTGTTGTTGTTGTTGTTTGTAAACCTGCAGCAAACATGCTTGCATAATTTACTTTACAGAATGGGGACAAAGGTCTAGATTGTCTGTTTTAAACTAATCAATGCAAATGGTGTCAGTGTCATTGTTTGTAGGAGCGATGTGAAGTCAAGAATTTTAAACGTATCCTAAACGTTATAAAATTCAAATAGACTACATTTTTGTGTTTTATACATTAAACTTATTACACTGCACGAAAACGAATTATGTATACTGTTCTCAAAACGATGATAGCACAAATGTTAAAGTTGTTTACAGTAAGTCCATAATGTTCAATGTATATGTAAACGTCGCCTCGGTGGTTGGTTGAACAGAGAGAGCGGATAGACCGATAAAGTTAGCTATACTATTGAGTAACGTTTAGGAATAGAAATATATCATTATCGTTTTGTTTACCAATCATGTGTCTTTCAGAAGAGAAAAAAACAGTTGTTTCTTACCGCCCAGGAACAGCAGCGGTGCCTCCAGCCACCACTTGTTCGCTACAGTTCTTGGAAAGGAACACAGTGAAGAGTCGAAGCCTTCAGTAGTTTAGAAGTAGGCGGTAACCGTGCAAACCCGATGTTCCTGACGAAGTTTCACATCTCATTTAAGAGGCTTCTTTGTTCTATTTAACTAGTGCGAAACTAGTGCGATCAAATAATCTGTCTTTTGTTTCTCGGTAGTCAAGTCAGCTCAGCCTAGAGTCATTTTGCACTGTCCCAACACGACACGCTATATCGTAAAGTCAGAAAAAGATCTCATGCGCAATGCTTCAAACATCCTGTTTTCAAAATAAAACAAGTACACTAGGGGCCCTGGGAGGGGAGTAGGTCATAGTTGATAGTTGTTGAGAACATCAGCTGTTCCCTTTGTAACGAACATGTCAAAACTACAGACCATATGCTCTATCCTATTAATGTATGTATACCCCGATGCGTTCTGGGACCAACTCCTACTTTTAAATGAGTACATATTTTGGATGGTTTTATAATTAAAATTTTCTTGTAATTTTTCTGGCCCAGAATCCACTGCCAAGTAATGATTCGCCACTGTTGGTCCCCAATCATGTGTGTCAAAAACTGCTCTATGTAAAATGTCATTGTTTGCTAGCTCTTTATTTTAACATGTGAAACATTCAATACAGATGCAAATGAAAAAAGTCATCTCCCTAATAGTAGAATGAAATTTTTATAATATACACAGATACACATTAGGGATATGCAGCTCATTCAAGCCCCTCATGCCAAGACCTTTGCTGCTGCTGATTAAGTACTTAACTGCAAAAGTCTCCACACAGTGATAATAGCGGTGAGAGTGCAGCATACAGTTACATTATTCATCCTTACACCTTGTCTCACAGGGTTAATTAGCAGGGAATTAAACAATAGTGAAGTTAATGATCCCTCTTTTTGTTGGCAGCAATCCCCCCTCGCTCCACCCCCAGCAATACCACCACCAAGGACCTCTGCAGCCCCCAAGTCTGTGCTTTGCACGACCATGCTCTAGCAGTGAGGCAGGCACTCAGACACAAACTCAGGGTGTATGATGTAGTGTCCAGGCTGGTGAGGCTTTACCACATGGAAGCAGCTGTAGCACCCACTATTAAAGAAAGCAGACACATTAATTAGTCCTCAGTGGTTGAGCAAATTTAAATATTAAAATAAACTGTGCAGAGGTAGAAAAATTCACCCATAATCCAGAGAGCTGTTAGAGTGAGGCCTTAAATATTGGCTCTTTGGAAACTTGCGTTGATCTGCTGTCAGATTGCTAGTTTGAGGTCTTGTCTGAAGTTGACCAATTGCAAATTGCCTGTCAAAAATGCAACATTTTATTTTGTATTTTAAAATGCATTTTACAGAGTTCATTTTCTGGGGTGTTACCTGGGTAAGTGTGCTGAGAGTGGATGCACATTCTTCAGATAATCCATTCGTCTGTAAATACAAAACAACATTTTTAACACCATCATTTCCTTGATGTGCTGATATTGGCTGAATGGATTATTTACAACCTTTGTTGTTGCTTCAAAGATTTGAGTGGCTGAACGTCACTGCCTTTGAGCTGCAGTGTCTTCAGTCTATCAGCAGAGGGAGCTGAGTTGACATGAGGTATATGATGTGTTTTTCCTGACTGTGCAGTTTTTGCACAGGGGTCAGGGCCAGTTGTAACTGGAGTGTGAAATGACAAATATGTGACAGGTGGGAAGATGGGACGGCCGGTGTCTGCAGGAGGCAGAAGGTGAGACTGTGTGCGTGTTGACATGTAGCTGAGCTGAGGGCTCCGCGGTAACAGAAAATCCTGGGGGAAAAAATGTGTAAAGAGAAGGACCTTAAAAGAAGGAAAAATGTTAAAATATAAAGAAATGTATTTATTTCTTTAAAAACATTTACTCTTAATTCCACAGGCAGCTCAGCTCTAATTTTTTTTACGTAAACCTTTTCCCACCTTGTGGCTTTAGCTGTCATTACAGAAGCTTAATACATTCGTAAAAGTCCTAAGGACTAAAATATCAAGTCAAGTTGAAACAAATTGTGAATTTGTATATCTGGAATAACTGTTAAATATATAGACCTGGTCGTTCTGCTTGTGCAGTCAGAAGTTATCAGTTAAAAAAAATAAAAAAGACCCTACGCTGCTCTTAGCAGGATGAAAAAATAGGCATGGAGGAAACTTTAAATAATAGATGGGTTACAGCTTTTACCCAACAGTGAATGTAAACAACCAACACCTTACAGCTAATACTATATGTACTGTAGTGGATCCACATGAAGAACAGCACAAGTGTTTTAGGCCGTATCTTACAATTGCTCCCAGAATATATATATATTTTTATAAAAATATTATGTTATATGTTATTGTGTATTATAATTATTTTAGATTATTTTATCTACACAAGCACAAATATTTCCTTTCTCTAACCGCCCCTTCAACCTCCACATCTTCTTACCGGTCGAGGCTGGGGGTTGTTCCTACGGTGAGCGGAGGTGGGTCGAAGTTGTGCCCTCTTCGCTCCGTGAGGCGAGGCGAACTGCTGTTTGTACATGGTCATGTAGACCTGAGGAACCATGTTCACTGAGGGGTCTTACCTGCTTTCCAAAGCTTGCCCTGAGTCTCTCTGAACATCAAAAGCAAAGCCTCTCCTCTCTCTCACTCCTGTTGGCTCCTCCCTTTCTCCTTCACGTTAATCTCACGTGTTATTCCTTTAACAGTTTTCTGCAGGACTCAGAAAACTGCAAAAACCAGGAGGCCTTGTGCTTAAACATTTTCACCCGGTTGTGTTTTCAACCTATTTTGCTGGTTTGTTTAACGCATCACGTTCTTTTTTTCTCCATTTTTCGTGCATTAGTGTGTGTAAATCTTGCATGGTTCTAACTCATCTTACAAACATTTGTTCATCCAGGTCTAACCATTTACCCTGTACTGTAGCTTATGTCCTACGAGATCTTTGAAGCGGAAAAGGGTTTGAAAGCATCCTTGCTGAACCAATGCAACTCTCTGTGCTACCTGAGCCGCTAATCCCTTTAAGCCCCAGGCCCCCTGCAGAGACATACATACCTGGGGTCATTGTGCATGACCTAGTTCCCTCCCAGGGCCCTTAGTAAAGTAACTACAACAGATCCAAACCTCGGCTTCTGGCTGTTTAATGCACCTGTGGCTGGAGCAGGTTTGTTTTTGTAGAAATGGAGGAAAACATAAGAAAGAGAAGGATTTTGATGTTTCTCCGACTGTCCACTGGGGTCACCCCTATTCACAGTCAGCATGTCTCATGAGCATCAATAATTCACAGAGTGCTGAAGGGGGGCCTTTGTGAGTCCACTGCTTTTGCCAAGTTATCTGTGACGGGACTTAGATGTCCATCAGTGTCTCGGCTGTGTTGACAGCCATGTAAAGTCTCCTCAAATCTAAGGCTAAATCTAAATCTAAACAACTATTCGGCAGTAATGTCTTTTCGGCGGAGCTCAAATCTGGGCTTTCTGTTCTCTACTTTCAACAGTAAAGTTGAGGCACAAAAATGTATCTTTCATTTGTATTTATTGTTAACAAAAGTGTTATTCTTTACCAAAAGGACTCTTTTCCCCCGAAAAGAGAAAATTCAGTTTAACAATCCGCATTACAAAGCCAGAAGGAGATTTATATGCGGTGCATGTGATCAGTCTGGGAGGAGATGTGTAGCATAGCGTTCACAATGCAGACTTGAATTTAAGCAGAAGTCCAGGGTGTGCTGTGCAGCATTACGTGCCGTTGTCATACTCTGAGTCTTTGCAGTCCCAAAGGATTCAGTGACGCTTGGTTTTCACAGCAGCCTTTAGCTTGGTGTAGACATACCCTAGATTCTGAGCGAGAGAACAGACAGATGAAGTGTGAAAACAAATCTGACACCAGCAGGCGTGTGTCTAACGTGTGGAGGCAGGGTGTGTGAGAAAGAAATAATATGAGCTGAATTTACAAAGGAAGAAAAAAGTCCAAACAAACCTGGATGACATAGTAAACAATTCCTAAATATCCAGCAATGCAGCCGCCAAGGAAGAGATCAAAGGCAGCCGGTTTCACTCTGGAAGAAAAACTTTTTCTTTTTAAAGTTCTAGTCATAAGGTTTCACATGCAGTAAATATTGTATATCTACCTGTACATTACTATTGGTTGTTTCATTTGATCAAAAAATGTAACATCAGGGTCCCTGCGGGGGAGGATTAGATACATTTACAAATTTAGTGCATGAAATTCCGTCAGTTCATTGCTGATACTGTTGACTGTCCAATAGTACCGTCTGTCCTGTCGGAAGTTTTGTCTGCGAACTTGCTTCAGGTAGCGTTTAAATTCCTGCTCCAATGAGCTGACCAGCAGGGCCTGTGCGGGCTCCTTGTCCAACAGCTGTGTGGCCCGGGGCACTGAGGTCAGGAAGGACATCAGGCTGGAGATACGACTGTCCTGAAATTCCTGAATAAGGAATCACAGTAGTCAAGAGGGACAATGAATCAGCAGGCTGTGTTAAATACAATTAAATACCACTAACACAACAGAGTTTTTTACTTAAGAAAATGATCAAACTTTACAGGTTAGTGTTCCAGCTGCTTCTGCAATAGTATTACAGAAAACGCAAAAGATGTGGAGGTACTTTAAAAATAAATACAAAAAGTGAATGTATAATGTGAATGTTTTCAAATACTGAATATATACAGAAGCATTTTTTAAAAATACAGATTTTATCTATTTATCTATGGACCCTTGAAAACCTATAACCCTTCGAATACGTTGAGAATTTTGTTTTTTCCCATGCATCTCTCGGGGTCTTACGTAAGTCAGTGTAATTTCTAAAGTCAAACAGCAGATGTCAGCAATTCCCTTTTCACGGTGACAAAGGAACTTACCAATTGGCCCTTAAACAGTTGCACTTCTTTAGGCGTACCCTGTTGGGAGACACGGTATGCACAAAGTTGATTTCTATATATTAATGATGTTTAACAAAGTAGAGATTAAATCATATTTCTATTTTATTTCATTACTTTATCAGAGAGATTGTACATGAACCGTGCCAGTGTCTCTGCAATGACGATACCATTGCGTTTTATTTTCCTGAAATCAACTTGCGATCTGTGGTGAGAAATAGTCACATGTTTATGTATTTCATATCGTATGTTTGGCTTTAACTCACTTTAACTTGAATCGATTAGTGACAGAAGTTAAAACCTACACTGTGTCTAGTATGGATCCCCTGAGCTCAGATTTCGGGTCTTCCAGGTGAGACAGAGTCAAACCAGGAATCCTGCGTAGACTGTAGCGCTCATGCTCCCAGGCTACTGACGATTCCACAAGGTTGATCTTCTTATGCACCAAACCCACCTTCACCGAGGGAAACCTGTGAGACACTACCTGAAATAACATACCAAAAAAAATGAAATGCTAAGTAAACCTGTTACTGTTTATCTTTAGTTCACTAAAACACGCAACATGTTACCTCCTCCAACAGATGTATGAATGAGTGTATGGGAGAGTCAGGTCTGGGAGGCCGGGACACGTGCATGTACAACACGTCTGCGTTGGCCAGTGTGTCCAAACACAGAACAAACGCCACGTTGTCATGAAGCAGGCTGGACTCTGGAAGAGAAATCATTTATAACTATGATATTCAAAACCAAGAGATTCTTCATGTGGGTAAACTAAGCTGATGTCCACCTGCGTGGTCTAGGTTTTCTTCAATCCATCTCTTTGTGCCAAGAAAATTGTATTTTCCACCTCCAGTCAGAGAGAACATTAAAGTGTATCTGAAACACCAAAAACAGTTGGGAAACAGTTGAAGAAACAACATTTTCATGTTTTTCTAAACCACTAATTCAGGTACAACTGCTTCTGTTGCCTGTACTACTACAATAATGTCTGATTTGTTGACTGTTCTATACAAAAATAATTCATTACAAAGTTGTGTTCTAATTAAGAACTTCATTCAAACATCGTATTGATCCCAAACTGGAATATTTAAAAAACGTCTGCAGCAACATACAGTAAAAATGGAATTCCTTCCATTTACACAAGGTACACAAGTACACAACTGCATGTATCGATCAACCTACAAATGCTTTGTCACGTCGACCTACTCACTTGGGTCTTGTGCTCTGACTACTGTAAAGCTTCTGGAAGAGACGGATCAACTCCAGCAGGATGGTGACACCGCTGCCATTAGAGTCCGCTCCGTAGGACAACCACTGGGGTGAAAGGAAACAATCAGACCAGTGGTTGCACTGTTAAAACGCACACTTTCATGCTGTTGTTCAGTGTAACCTACCGGGGCCAGTCCATATGAATCATAGTGGGCAGTGATGACGATGGTGGGAACATCGTCTCCAGCTCCTGGGAGAACCCCCTGAGATACAGGTCAGAAATGACATAACGCAGAACTGACCAACAGTCACAGAGTGAGGTCTTCAGCGCCCACACTTACCTCCAGTGTGACTAAAGTGGTGTCAGTGGTGCCCGTGATGGGGGAGTTGTTGCTCACGAAGATCTGAAAGGCTGTGGCTGTGATCATACTTCGTAGAACTGACAGTTAGGGAAAAAGAACAAATGGAAACTCCATTTTTTTCAGCTTCTCCACTTCTCTTTCATCTACAGGCTTTTCTGGACTATTAAAAGTAAATCTGTATGGTTTTTGACACACATACTCTACACTGTCACTGTTTGTTTTACCTCTTATTATTATGGATGAGGTACGGGAGGCTGCAGCCTGCCTGACCTCCTCATACATATAAAGCAGCTGTTCATCCTCGAGTGCTGCATACACAGGCATGAGGGTCTCCTTCAGAAGACTGTTCCGCTCACTCACCATGAAGGACTGAGAAAATATCAATAAAGAAAAAACAATGGTCACTCAGATACCACCATATAATATAGCATAGATTTTATTTTCCATTTGATGAAAAAAATTAATAAATAAATACACGTTACCTGCACAGTATCCTGGGGGACGCTGGACATATTCCTGGGCACCAGGACAAGTATGGCTGCTGCATTTTGTTTTTGTGCCTCCAGATATTTTGCTGTGGTGAAGTCTGACACTTTCATGACAACACAGCGGCGGCTCAGCACTGGTTCTTCAGCTGATCTCGCCTCGGCCACAACAATGGCTCCAAGGCAACCTGAGTGGCCCAGGAACAATCAACACTTTCAAAATTGAGAACACAACAGGGGTCAGTGTCTTCACCAATGTAGCCTGATTACTAATTTGCATAATTTTGCCAAACTTAGTAATTCAGATGTACTGTGATGATTAGGCTGAGAAGTTCACTGATGGGACAAAAACATTTGTGAGATTGTATCACTGACATAATTACATCAAAACATTTCATATAAAAATAAATCTTTGCCGTCCAGCATGCTGCACAGTTCTGGACCAAAGGACAGAGGCATTTGCTGCAGAGCATCACAAGCAGTAAGTCCATAGTCGGCAGAAAAATGTCCCCTGTCTCTGGTGTTTTATGTGCACTCTTACTCTGCACACTTATTGCTTACGCAGCTACTGCACAAATGCAGCTTTTGACCATTTAAGAGACCAGTTAAGATGGCACAGGTATATTTATTCATTTATCTTCTACTGCCTCATCCTTTATCAGCTCTGTAGGGGGAGCTAGAGCAAGTCCCAGCAATCACCCGGGACAGAAAACTGAATCATTCCAGGGCCGAATATAAAGAAAAAAAAACATTTAAACTCCCATTCACATGTATGATGTATATCAGCTTCTTGACAAAATTTAATTACTTTAATGGTCTTCTAAGTCTTACTTTACTTTGACTGTGCTGCAAGAATACATTTCTAAATGTGTCTATATTTATCCAATAACTATAGGTGTCCAGTTTGAAATGACAAAACTCTATTATCATCAGTAGATTACATCATTACCATGTTTTTTTTGTCCCAAGTTGTACTGTTGCATCCTGTAAGCAGTGAACTCATACGAAGACATAGCGGGCAGAGCCGAGCCATCCAGACACTGGACACAGAGCAGCAGCAGCAGTGGTAACACAGCCACACACACATATTTTAGCAACATGTTGTCGTGTTCTGTTGTAGTTTCATCTGGGGAAAAAAAAGTCAATGTCAGATTTTAAACCAGCTAAACTAACTAAAAAACACCAAATGATCAGTGATTTCAGCAGCTAAATCCCTGGACATGACCTGAACACTGAACTAAGTCAGTTACAGATAATTTAACGCTGTGACCACGGAGTCAAACTGTATCTACTTGCAGGATTCTTGGTGTCAGGAAGTCCGTCGACTGTCCCCCTTTGTCGTCCAGTCTAACGGGAACCGTCTTTCTCCGTTGTCCATGCAGCCTGGACTCAAACTACTGCAGCTCCGGATCAACACATGTAGGTAAGCCACCATTTACCATCTGCTCCCAACGGATCAACTTAAGCTAATCACAGTGACCCCACCCCCCATCTTTACACGGATCTGTCCTCTCCATCCACTTTTTGGCTGCACTCTTAAACTCATTCACTTTACTCACATCAGTGGCTTCTTATCATTTCTTGTTGTACGTGGGTGGCAGCAACAATCAGAGGGGTCTTTATAGAGAAATTCAACCAAATCTCGATTCTGTTTTTTTACACTAACAGCCATGAAAGGTCACTGGTGCGACTTATACTCCGGAGTGACTTATAGTCTGGAAAACACTGCTTTTCTCGCACCTAACTAAAACCCCAGCAGAACATGTTTTTTTAGACAGTTAAGTTAAACATTTAGTTGGGCAGTCCAGTGATGAGAGGAATCACACCTATAATTGAAGGTTTGCTGTTTGAATCCTTCTTTGGCTGTGTTTGGTGTGTTGAACAAGCAAAATATTCCCATGGTCCCTAAATTCGACTAGAAGGGTGCACTGGTCAAATGCAGACAATGATGTCTAATTGTCGGTCAGAATCTGTATATTGGTTAAAAAACATGTTTTATGGAATCAGGCAAAAAGGCACAACAATAAAATGCAAAAACAACAACATTCAGATACCTAATATTTATTTTTTGTATGTTGCACTATAACACAGAACTTTAACAGTTAAAATCTAAACGTAGCCAGTCCACATAAACATCTGACAAATAAAAAGCATCAGTATGTGATATTTTCAATGCATGTTAAATAAATAAAAAAAAACCCATCTGCAAATAAATAACTTGTTAAAAAAAAGAATTATTTTTGTTTCCAATCTCTGGTTAGGCTACACCTCAAGTGACGCAACACTGTGCAGGAGTCGTGCACAATCTATTTAATGTATGGCAATGTGTCAGGATCATGTTAGTGGCTGTAAGCCCACAGTCAGACCCACTGTCTGCCTCTCATCAATGATATGGTACAGAGGTGTCCACAGCTTTTGGGCTAACACAACACAAAACATACAACGTGAACTGCTGTGCCCGTTTCTCCTTAATACACTATCTACACCTACAGTATGGCACCATGTTGGGAACAAACACGAACGAAGTCAAATGTAGTTTGAGCTGAGGGTCGATCAAGTTTCCCGTTGTCACTCACAGGTTTGAGAAAAAAATATGAAAGAAAATAGGATTTTGAGAAGAAGATAGAAGTTCCATAAACACCAGATTTTAGACGTTAGCAAAACGGATGCATTAGAACACAATGTAAAGTGCACACATGCTTAGTGTCGTAGTAGCGCTAACAGCAATCTTTCCTATATGTTACTGCATATGGTGTCATGTTCTTTTAGCTTTGAAGTATGGCCTAAGAAGAGAGATTGTTATAAAAAAAATGGGAAACCCAGCTTGAACATCCAGTAAATTCAGTTGACACTTGCTGTTTGCAGAGTTGTGGATATGTAAACATGATAATCAATTATTACAGCTTATAGAACAACAAATAATCCCTTTTTGACATCATGACAAACGAGTGCTACATACACAGTTAATGTTCCCACATCAGAACGTCAAGGGCAGTGAGCACAAAGAAAACAGACATTAAAATAAAAACTAAAACTAAACTTAAAAACAAGCAAAAAGTCTAACTTTCAATGGCATCTAAGTATAAAAACAAAATCCTATTTCATCATATCATTAGCAAATTAAAGTTTCTTTCTATATGTTCTCTGGCTTTACAACACCCTCATGTAAAGGTTTTGCACATATTTAAAGCAGTCACCAAAACCATTGTTTCTGTGATGAGTATCAATAAAATGATGAATTAAACACTAACTGCTGAGCAGGCCCTGCACTACATACACACTGCAGTAGGGTGAACATAAATACTACTAAATAATAATGCGTAGTGGACCTCAGGTAGTACGACTATAACAACGTGGGGTCTTCCTGGTGGACTACCTGCACATGTTGGTCAACAGTCACCAGTGACAACAGGCAACATGCAAAACTGTTTGTTTTCATTTTCTCTGAAATGAAACCAGTGACCAGTTAAATCCTGGCTGAACATTCAAACAGCACAAACGTTAAGTGTGGCGAGTGAGACAGCACAGCGGTGAAGGGGTTAGCATGTGGACTCAGAGGAAGAAAGTCATATTTTTACATCAGTTCACACAGTTGTAATGACATTTATCTGGATTCTTGCAAGTTGTCTTTGTAGAAACTCCATGTACAGATAAGTTAACACGGCACAAAAGTCGGTGGTCACTGTTGTTTGATTCAATATTGCACTACATTCTTCAATACCAGACAGATATAGCGTTTTAAAGAGGACAGACTATTTTGTTCATAAAGTTCAGCACAGTCTGAATAAACTCCGTCTCCGTTCTTACCTGCTATTAAAAGGAACCTTTAAAAAAAAAAACGTATGTTCCCCACTTCCTACTTTTTGGATTTTGTGGCATGCTGGAGGAGAAAAGAAGGTATCAGATTCATAGCTTCTTCCAAGTTTCAGTATTTGATGAAGTGTACCAATTTTTATGGAAAGTGTGTTTGTACAGTAGATACAACCCTTCTAAAACATACTATGAAGTGTCACTAAAACTTGTTTGTACTCATCTATTCATTCGTCGAACTTGAGGAAACGAAGCCTATCACAGATGACATGTAGAGCCACAGGGTTGATGTCCTTGGCCATGTCCTCAAACCCTCACTTCAAATATATTTTTAGGTCACAGCATCTGGGCCAAACCCAGGCATTGAGTTATCGGGCTTTCATTATCAGAGGAAAAACCAATAACGATTCTTACCGAACTGAACATACACATTACGTAATTATGCTAATACCAGCCGATGCATCCTTAGTAATCAGCATGGCAGTGGCTCCTATCATAAAGGGGTATTACACTTGATGTACCCGAAACTTGTTGTCATAGTATACGTCTGTAGGAAGCGTAATAGTTTGATGAAACCTGTGTCACTGTGTGTGTATGTGTGTGTGTATCCTGGTTATTATACAGTAAATATCTCTCAATAACTTATAATAACAAGGAGGAGATAAAAACAGGCAGGAACAGCAGAGGTGAGGTATGAGGGGAGGGCCGCGGGGGGAGACTCTACCTGCCTAAAACTCTTGAGAGGAAACACTGCACCTACAGTTTAGAAGTTTTGACTTCCTGCTCTGAGAGAACAATGCTAGCCATTACACCACTGTGTCAACAAGCAAGAGACTATAAACCCAACTAACAATGTGCACACTAGAAATGTCCTAACTTCTCCTGTCCGTTAAATCTCCCAGTTAGTGATACACAAGCAGAACAGGAACCTTGTCACCACTACATGCACGTCTTCACGGGTCCTGTCTTTTATTTATTTATTTATTTTGTTCTGTTTCTGTTTTTCCAGATGTGGCACAGTCCTTGACGGTCCCTGTAAACCAAAGAAATCCACACAGACAAGAGGAGAGCAGACAAAGGGGAAGCGAAGGGGAGGTGTTGTCATTAGAGGTAAAGTTTCTGCCATCAGTCGAGTCACCACTGAACCAACAACGCAGAAGTGAGACGCACAGATCCTACCATAGGAGGAACCGTGCACGGACACAATGACTCCTTTCGCCAAGACTTCACCGTCTGCGTTTTCCTTCTTCTGGCTCTCATATATCCTTGCCGCATCTCTGTGTTCCCTCTGTTCGAGCTGATAGTTTTTCCTCCTTGCAGCCGGGCTGTTCCTGCCACCGGCCCTAAGAGCCACTGGCAGGAAAAACAAATGGTGCTACTGGATTTGGCAGGCTGTGGAAGGAGCAGCCTGGCAGCACATGCAGGTGGGGTTAACTGCTTTAGGCGGGATCAGATCCAGGTCTTCGTCATCAGGGATCTCGTCCAGCCTGTATCCGTCCTTGAGGAGCTGAATGTTCAGGTCCTGGTTGATTTGCTACAAAAGGCAAAGAATTTGAGAATCAAAGCCAGAAATAACACTTGAAATTAATCAGATTGGGATTTCTCCAAGCACATGAATTTATGTCATATATACACTATAATAGATTGATTTATATATTTTATGTAAAATGTGACACAGTACAGTCCTATTGACTCTACATGGAAAGGAAAACAACAAAAGGAACAAACAGGTCTTCAGCAATGAGACGGTGAAACCAAAGCATGACCATCAGTGAGAGAGACATGAAACCTGTTGGAATGAGAAATGACACAGGTTTACAAAAAACAGTCGAGTGAGTGGAGTGGCCAGTGAACAGGGTTTCAACAGTGGCTGCACATGTACCTGGTGTGAACAATGGAGTGGGTGGTCTAGCAGTGATGCTGTGTGTACAACTACAATATAACATGTGCATAGATACCTGGTCCCTCAGACATCTCACCTCGGCTGAGGAGTATCCTGATGAGGAGTATCTGGACATGTCGAAGTCATCATCACTGGAAAACAGGGGAGATCAGAATTGTTAGACACAAAAATACAACAGGAAGCGCAGTACTGCATCCTATTAGTACCACTAGTAGTAAAGTAAAAGTAAAAGTCAGTTTTGGGAACAGAGTGTAGAATGTGGCATCTAGCTGTGAAGCTGTGAAATCAAAATGGCTGATTTTTTTTTCCAGTGGGCAACCTTAGGTGGGCACAGAGCTATTGCAGGATGGGTTCTGCTAGATCGATGCAGGCTGAATTCACAAACATACCGGAACAAACACAAATGGGTCAACTGTTCCTCTACCATAACTCTAACAACTAACATAACTATGTTTTCGAGTTGCTGCCGGGCGGGGTTCTTGTCACCAGGAGTATGCTACATGATGTAACATATGACATAAGCTGGGTTTTTCTTCCAGGGTGCCTATTTCGCTTAAGGTTTGTCCTGTGCAGCTGCAGCTGAGGGTACAAAGGGTGGGACTTGTCTCTGTCAGATACTGACACAGTAAGAGTACACATGCAGGGTAGAATGTAGTTTTACTGCTTTTCCCTGACAGAAATCCTCACCCATCTACCCTCTAATCCTGAGCTCTGGGGGAGGCTTTGTCTCCCTGTAAAGGATTCCCACTCCTTCAAGCGGCAGAGTGGATTATTGTATCCTCACCACAAAGTAGAAGCAAATGAAACAGGACAAAGAAATGTCCCTCCTCCACTTCTCTGGCTTACGAAAAGTGAAGTGCCTACTCCACGTACCTGTCTGTGTCCAGCGCCACCAGGGGTTTCTCATCTGGGCTCTGGTCAAGAGAAGAGTAACCTTTGTTGGGCACCACCAACCTAAAAAGGTAGAAAACGGGAAAGAAATTAAATGGAATTGAACCAATTTCAGATAATCATTTGGAGTCAAAAGTTTGAAAAGCAAATTTACCCACAACATGAAGTTTGTCATCACTTCTTTCTAAAACAGAACTGAACGCTGTGGTACGTCTGTGCCGTTATGTCAATTTTCCATTTCTTGGTACATTAGGATTATGGGTAGATAAAGCACAGCTGGAGCCAGTGCATGTGAACAGAATGTGAATGACTTGCAACTTCTGTTTGACTAATTCTAATTCTTACATTTATTTAAATCTACAGTTGTTTTTGTTTTTCCAGGGCTGGTATGAAGCCTCTAAAGAACGGTGAACCAGAGATTCTCTGTTCCCACCAGGGGTTCTGCATTCAGACCAGCAGCCTTTCATGTGTGTGTATTAATTCAACGAAGAGTGGGATTAGATCACACATTGTACACAAAGACACACAAACAGGTATCCTGATTAAAAAGCCATGTTTTCTGTTGTTGGTTGTAACATCTGAAAAGTCTAATGGAGTCCTCAGGTTATCGGTGATGTCACCATGACATCATCATGTAATGAATGTGTTTTAGGTCGAGGTGGTCAGTGTAAAAGAGAGCAACAGAGCCGTCACCTTGTCCTGGCGTTCTTCTTAGGTTGCTGATTGACAGGACTGCCCACTGTGCCATTCTTCACTGATCCTTTCCTGGCAAGGTCTCTCTGTTTCTCTGGGCAACCACAGGATGTGAGGTCATTAATGAGAACATCAATCTCAACTCAGAGGCCGTGAGTAAACAATCTGGTTAGTATTGATCCTCAAACATGCTGTAGTTTATCTTTGTTAAAGAAAATTTAACATGAATTTAAGGAAGTCATGTCGCAGGTCGTGGTTTGTGACCTGATGTTAATAGGGTTGAACTTTAGAGGCTGTTCTCAAACTTTCCTTATTTGTTGGAGAGAAAAAAACTACCTCTCAACCCCAGATTTTATATTTAAAAATCAAAAACTTTTAAGAAAACTAAACGAGGAGGAATCTTTTAACATTGTTATCATTATTCTTTTTTTTTTTTTTAGAAAAATGCTTTGGCCATATCTTCTGTAACATTTGATGTGGTACTAATCTGCAGCAGGTTGACCGTCGTACCTATTTGGACTTGCAGTGGTGAGGGTTTGTAGTTGAGGGCCACAGTTTCACCCTTGTTGTCAGGGTTGGGCTCAGAGGTGGAAGATGCTGCTGGGTCCTGGAAAAGAAACCAAAAACCAGAGAATTCATGAGCTTAAATCAACAACGTAATGTTCATAACAATCATTAGCAAATCAAACCCAACAGTCCCAGCCTTGTCATGACTTGTTAATTCACCCTGACTGTGATTTAAGGAGAAGTCAGACTCTTTTATAGTAACGCACTCCCAATTAACTTAGACTATACTTCATTTGGACACATAAAATTGAATGTAGTCCTGGGGGCAAAACCAACCCAGTAATAGCAATAGGCCTCTTAATTTATCATTGAGCTACAACAGGTATACACTACTGGGAAAATACGTTTTTTAAGAACACTCCAGTCCAATACCCAGGCGAGATATCCCGGGACTAAAGACTGTTATAGCTGCACAGTTTGCACCATCAATAGCCCTGAGTGTTCTGCTTATGTTGCTGGCTCTGTCTCTATTATATGTGAGCGGTGATGGCATAGGGAGCTGGCGTGGGAGAACAGAGGGGGCTGCTGTTGAGAGCCATGGTTTCCTCAGTCTGAGAGAAGGGAGCTGGACTGAACTGGGGAGCTTGTCCTGCTGACAGAGCTCCACATTATGTCGGTCCTACAGGCCTTCCCTTGTTGCATTCTGAGGAACTCCAGGAGCCACATGGGCAAAGGCAACTGTGCATTTGGCTTTCAATAAGTCTGTGCTCTCTGTAGTAATAAAGGCAATAGAGGCTAATTTAGAGGGCTACCCAGCAATGCACAAATGCTAAAACAATTCAGGACAGGTAGAATTTAGTCATGCGGTACCACTTATTTTCCAGGCAAGAAGAAAAGGAAAAAATGTGGTTGTTTCCTTCACAATAGCCTGTGGTTTTCTAAAGCTTTACTGCAGAACAATGTGAAATTCTGTGAGGATTTCAAACCCTGTCACATCTGAGCTCTGTGCTTTCCCCTGAGCATAGATCTTAAAAATCCTTAAATTTTCAACTATTTTTATTTCCACATAAAAGACGGTTCTCTAGTTCAGTCCAGCACAGAGTGGCCACAACAACTCAGGGCCTTTGTCAGCTGTGCCTTCTATACCTAATTGTCCTGATCGTTTCATTAGTTAACCTTGTAATAGGATTGTCATGGCGTTGACAAACACACTGCACTTTCTGTTTTTACTGCAGTTTTAAAAGATGAGAAAAGTACTTTCTTCATCTTGTCAGTGAAAATTTACAACAGCTTTGCAACAGCAGCATCAGAGAGACTCCAAACACAGGTGGTGTTTTTGAAGCCCACAGCAGCTAAATATACCTTTATTAGCTACAACAGTCTCGTCCTCATCTGGTAATGAAGCCTTATTCGCTCAACTGGCCTTATTAATACTAGTTTCAGCTACGAGCACAACATTAGTAGGAGCTGTGAAAACACAGCTTGCACTTGCAAAAGAAAAGGCTGCACTGTCTCAGTATTTACTCTGCAGACCCTACAGTGGATAATATCAGTGTTTTAGAGGTCATGTGTTTGTGACAGATTATAAATCCTTTGCGTATATCTCTATAATCTTTATTTTTGACAGTGACAGAAATTAGCATTGATGCTAACTGAATTTAGGCAGAAAGGTCACAGCTCACATAATGGTTTTTCTTGTAGAGTTTTCAGATACATTATGCATACATTTAAAAGAAGACTTGAAACTAGTAGATGTGTAAATCTAGTATTTTGGTACTCCATGTTGTTAGGGATGTTATTCAACATCTTGTTAGTAGCCTGTAACAAAAATGGTAAAAGTTCAGCAGAAGACATGAAGCTTTTAAATTGTCAAAGGGAAGACATTCATTTCTGCACATGCTAAATGCTATCATCCACAACCACAGCAATAGACAGTTATGTAACCAGTACACTGACACAAGCGTTTTAATGCATTTAATGTTAAACACCTAGCTGACCTTCAACTCACATTTACAGACACCTCGTTGCTCACTCAAGGTCACTCAACCACACACACATACAGTAATGTTAACAACTGTGTTTAATTTCCTTCAGCTTGTCCAGACACTCCTTTACTGCCTCTGATGATGAAGAGTTACAGGGCTGCTGACACAGCACAAACAACAGGGCACTGGTAGGATTATGCATCAGGGCCTCTCGCTGACCAATGACAGGGGAGAGTGATACATCAGGTGATCATCATACAGTAACACCTATAGGTTACTCATGAATGATAACAGCCGCTGTGCTATTGATAGAGCTCATGTCTTTGCAGTGAAATTCTTAGGACAAGATTTAGCAAGGAATGTATTACACTTTTGACTGAAGGATGATTAAAAACATCTACAAGTTTGGAATAGAACAAACAATGCAAAATTATGCAAATTGCATGCAATTTATTAAAAAGCACCCTAATATGTGTGACATTTCCGTGACATTTTCAACAAGGGAGCCAGGTGCCAAGTTCATTCATGGGATTTTGCAATCACAATGAAGTTATTAGCATTAAAATGCAGAGCTGTGTGTACCAGAACAACTCTGACATCATCAGATGTAGAGCAGCTGTCTGAGAAAGGAGGCAGTGGTTTCAAAAGTAGGAAACTACTGAGTCTAACAAAATGCAGAAGAAATCTGAGTACAGTATATTTGTGGCACAGTTTTCTTTTTCAGAAATCTGTATTCTGAAAACATGAGATGAAAAGCTCGTAATGTGTGGAGATCTAAAGCTGCTGATGCTGCATTAACAGCGAGGGTTTCTGTTGTAAGTTCTGTGATTTCTTCTAGAGGTTGAGAGTTGGGGTTTTTCTCTTGAGGTAAATTTGCTTCTGTCTAACAATCAATATTAGAGTGAAGTGCACAGCGAAAGTCAAGGGCATTGGATGGACTGCAGCTCTATTTTAAATGAATGCAATGTTGAGCAGTGGGTCATATATTCATTACCGGGCACATCAACTCAGGCAGTTAATTGCCTTGTGTTTATACCGTGTGTCAGATGAACTTTAATTTTACTGGCATGGCAGACTCCTGCTGTATGACAAACTGCAGACGGATGAAGCTACTCTACTGTAATGGGTCTCTATGTCCCAGTCATCATCATTATGGTGGCACTCTGCAGAAATGTTTGGACAAAAGGCTTCTATTCTCACTGTCATTTGGGTTCATAAATCTCAAGCTACATCACATGTTAGCTCATTACAAAATGAAAATGATAAATAAGTGATGACGCTAGTATTTTCTAAATTATGCTGACAATCCCTGGCCCCTAGTGGTTGATGAAAATGTCAGCAAGGTAATTCTGTACATATTTAACAACCGCATAATAAACTACTTTTTTGTTCAATATCTGACTTCCAATATTCATCCATGTAAAAAAATAAGACCTTCACTATAAGCCATAAAATTGGTTTTCTTTAGGGTTTAGTAATTTACAAGAGTGACTTTTCTCTAGTCCTCACTAATAGGGATGACGTTCAGCTGTTTCTACTCCCCTGCAGCTCCATACATTCTGGATTAATGTCCAGTGACTTCCTTTGAGTTCCATTATTGCCAGTATTTTAAAATGTATCCAAAAGAACTCAGGCTGAGGGCAGTAACAATGCAAATTAATTCACCACCATACACATCTCACAATCGGTGGCACAGTGGCTTATATTTGTCTGACTATACGTAAAACATCCGATTGCTATATTGATGCCTGTTCTTTTTACTTTTTGACATGTAGAAAAAAAACGTGGTCACTTACCAAAAATTTACAACACGCATGCATTTGGCTTTTTTGATGTTGCTATAGATATACAACCTGGTACACATTTTCTGTAATAAAATCTGTCGTCATTGCATCAACACTAATAAATGACCAGTCGAGGGCATTGAAAATAAACAATACCATGTTGTTTTATATATTATAGAATTCCTCTATACTTTAACTAAAATGGTCCTGGATGACTGGGGAGACATAGACATCTCCTAGCAGTATTTTAAATTAAATCACTGTTTTCTTGAAACTGTATTACGAAAGTATTATTGTGTAATTAATAAATTACGCAATTCAGAGTAATGCTTTTCACGATCACGATGTTTTAGAATGTCGCATCCAGTCCCATCCCTGGCCGCACTATCTCTTCATCTGACGGGTATCACCGTTAACACCCATCCCAGAGACCCAGACAGTCCCGTTAGCTCTTACGCAGATAATCTAACACGGCTGTGGCCTTAAAAAGTAACACACAATGACCCTTCTGATGTCGATTGAATTAAATCAGGGCTAAATTTCTTCTAATGTGCGTGCATGAGAATGTGTTTTTGTGTTTCGTTTCTCACCAATGGCTGTGTCTCTCCGTTTACTGGAGGCACTTGGAACCTGTCGATTTCTTCCATCATTTTGGCAAAAATGTAAACAAAAACGACGTTTTGAGAAAATTGGTAAAATTTCGACGTTAACTCGCGTCAGGTTGTGGTGTTCTAGGTCGTTATCTTGTTGGGATCCTTCTTTTTTAGCATGATAGCGGTTCGTTTTCCTCCATCCTGACACAGAGGTGACTCGACAGCAAAACAGCAGTAACCGCCCCACTTCCGGGTCTGTGGAATAGTCACGTCGATCTCGACCAATCAGAGTTGAGGTGATATCAGAATGCGTAGTAAAAGAATAGATGCGTAGATTTTGAAATTGGTTGTACATATGTTATTATCGTTTTTTTATTGAATTTTAATAGCGTACAACTATATTTTCGTCTAGAACAGTAAAAATAAACTTTAGCAATTCTATATTTATGTCAGCCGGGCCTCCGGTTGCCTTGGCAACATATACACGGCGATAGGCTGCTGTAATTTAGCTGTTCGAAACTTTTCTTCTTGCATTAAATATTTTACACGTACTGTTGTTAAAATGTCCGTTTACAACAGTAACCCAGCTGTTACAAGAAAGGTAGGTGTTTACTTCCTCTTCTATTGATTTGAGGGACTAAAAATAAGTTAAACAATCCTTCTTCACTTCATATCGAAGCATGTTATTAAGAGCAATATTTCACACACTGCGACTCTGCACTTGTATTTGCACGTTTTTTGACGATATTTATAATCCCGCATTACTTATAGTTACTATTGCACTTACACAGTATTAAACTGTTTGGCCCGTTTAGTTAAACACAACCCTGATACAGGAAATGAGGGATACACACAAAGATCTTCTTTCTATTCTGTCTTCTATTGTATGTTTACCATACAAAATGTATGTTGTAGACTGACATTGTGTTTTTAAACAGGGTTCCAATGTTCAGAAGGTACCAGGTGGTAAACTCGGCGAGGGATTCCTTGAGCCTCAAGGCAAAGGACTAATTAAACCTCCAGATCAAGTGGAGCTGTCTGAGGCTGTGAGAGAACAATTCTTTATGGTTCAAGGGCTCCAGAAATTTTCTTTATTTAAGATTTTTACCCTAGATTCATCTGTATCAATCTGGGGTTGTCTAACATATCACATCAACAGGAACTACAAGAGGAAATCACAAGGATTCTTACTACAAACAACCCGCATGCTCCCAAAAATATTGTCCGCTTCAGCTTTAAGGTAATCTCAATTGTATATACATTTATATTAAGCTTACTGCAATAATAACGTATCAGTGGTAGTTTAATAAGAACAGTAACTGTTTCTTGCATTACTGACAAGAAAAGTGACAACACTTTTAGTCTGACGCTTGTGTTATTGGTGTTACGCAGGAACGCGTCTACAAGTCCTGCGTCGTTGATCAGATGGCTGTTCTCTTTGAGATGGAAGGCAGTCTGGTGCATGAAGACTCTGATGAAGGTCGAAGACTCAGAGCCAGGGGGAGTCTCTGTGAAGGTAGTTACATGCACTATGATTTCATTTGTCTGCAGTGCACCAGTCTGTTGTTTTTGTGTCCGTTAAGCACAGTAAGATTTTGGAGAGTGTAGTCCACACTTAGTGCCACTAGATGTCACTTTACGCATGTGTCAGAAAATAAGACAAAACAGACAGTTTATGTTTTTATTTATTCAGAACTAGCAGCAGGCGGGATAGAGACAGAACCTGATGAGGAAAAATCAGAAGCTACGGTAAAATGGACACACTCACTATAGTTTTGTTCCTTCTAAATCAGGACCCAATGTAAGGACCTGGGCAAGTGATAAATCTTCCCTGGGTTTTTTTCTAAGGTTACAACCACAGAAGATGGAGGAGAAGTGGAAGAAGCTGGAGAAGATGACAGACCAGACAGTGTTGCCTCAAAAATTGACAGGAAGGAGCCAAAACAGACTAACCAGTTCAACTTCAGTGAGAGGTCCTCACAGACCCTCAATAACCCCCTAAGGGTAAGAAAAGTTGTTAAGCTACATATTTGCACAAGCGTTATGTTTATATTAATACATTTAACGATAATACTTATTAAAATGCTTTCATAAGTTCAAGAGTTTTAGTGGGGTTTTTTGTTTGTTTTTGTTTTTTTTTTTGTTTCTGTAGGACAGAAGCTGTCAGACTGAGCCCCCGCCCCGCTGCACCTTCTCTGCTACTGCTAACCAGGTATAGTATTTTTAGACATCTCTAAAAGACATATTGAAGTGAAGATGTTTTTGTACTGTCAGGCTTCATCGCACCTGTGTTTACTTAGTAAACCTCTTATAACTAATATTCTTGTGGCAGTGGGAGATCTATGATGCCTATGTGGAGGAGTTGCAGCAACAAGAAAAATCTCAGGTGAAATAATGCCTTTTCTTGATTATACTGTATGTTTATTCAAATGTGTTTTGTTCATATTAAGTACAGTGTGAAGGATTAAATCAAAGTCATATTAGTACTCACCAGACTAGGTAGACAAGACTGGACCAGACAATAAATGTATAATTACTCTAAACTGATGTTAATGTGTGTCTTTGCAGAGGTGTCTGAATATTATTTGTTTTTACAGAGTGATGATTCCAAACTTAGGAAAGCAGCCAAAATCCTTGAAAGAATGGTCCATCAGAACATATTTGATGACATAGCACAAGGTTTGCCCTTCAAAACATGTTAGATTGTCATGTAAGATACGTGTAAAGTTAATTGTCATATGATTTTAGGGATAACTGTCTTCTGACTTCTCTTTTTTTTCTCCTCTCCTCATTTTTCTTCTTTTATCATCTTCTCTTTGTCCCACACGTGTCTCCTCGTATCATTTTTTTTCTTCGGCTCCTCAGATTTCAAATACTTTGAAGATCCCTCTGATGAATTTAGAGATCCGGAGGGCACACTTCTCCCATTGTGGCGGTTTCAATATGAAAAAGCCAAAAGACTGTCTGTTACTGCCCTCTGCTGGTATGTTTGTTTATTGCGTTCTCATATAGTGTTGATGACAGGAAAAAGATTATTATCATTTTTATTTAAATAATAATTTATTATTACGTTTTGTTATTACGATACCACTACAGTCTCATCTTTTCATTGCATTCTAAAAGCTCGTTCTAATTACTTTTTTAGGAATGGCAAATATCAAGACTTGTTTGCTGTGGGTATGGGATCATGTAAGTTTGCTACTTAATGCTTATTAAGCAAATATCTAATTGGAAAATTAATTGTGTGTTAAATTAAATGTGCAGACATTATTGGTTTGTGAAAAACTACTTCCTCCTGTGTGCTGCTCAGTTGACTTCAGTAAACAAGGAGCTGGCATGCTTCTTGTTTACACACTGAAGAACTCATGGTTTCCAGAACACATCTACCCCACCACATCTGGCGTCATGTGCCTCGACATCCATAAGCAGCGTTCCTACCTGGTAGCGGTGGGCTTTCACAACGGCAGTGTGGCTGTCTACAACTTGAAACGGGAAGGAACAGAGCCTGTTCACCAAAGCACAGCTAAGACTGGCCAGCACACAGACCCTGTCTGGCAGGTACGGAGGAATAGGTGATGTGACATTCAGATGCTGTGTGTAGGTTCTTTGAAGTCAACAAGACTTTGTTCATTCATCGTTACACTGGACAGCTCACATCTATTGCATGGCCACAAAAAGAGATTCAGCCACTCACTCTCACTTTGTCTCCGTAAATGTATTATTTTTTCATGTTGTCATTAATTTAGGTACGCTGGCAGCAGGACGACATGGACAACAACCACAATTTCTTTTCTGTGTCAGCTGACGGCCGAGTTGTGTCTTGGACCCTTGTCAAGGTTAGCCACGAAAATACTGCATATTTATTGAAAAATATTTCTCCTCTAAAGCTATGTCTTTTAATGAGCAGGATATATAATGATGCAGCAGTTCACTGTACTCACTTGTTGAAGTTCATTGTTGTAGAATGAACTGGTCTTCACCGACATTATCAGATTGTCTGTGAACGGTACTGTACCAGAGGACCAGGAACAGTCACCGCAGGTCAGCGTGGGTAAGGCTAGCCTCACCTGAAATATCCTGTTGTTGTTGTATCCTGTATGTATTCAGTGCTGCAACCAAAACACATTCTATCCAGGGCAACTCTGGTTGTCACTTCTTTAACCTCCTTTATTTTATTACGATACACTAAACATTTTGGTGGAGGGTGAAAATCTTTAATTTTGTTAAGCCTTTTTTTTTTAGAATAAGAAGTTGTTTGTACAAATGTTTTGATGTATCAATACCAGTAAATATTATAGTACCAAATACAAGTCAATTTAAGCAAATGTTCTTCTATTATTTTTTACATGTTTACGACTCATAAACTGCTGATTCACATAAAACACGTTTGATGCCTCTCGTCCACAGCTTGTGGTACAGCGCTTGACTTCCACAAACAGACTGACTATCTGTTCTTGGTTGGCACCGAGGAAGGGAGGATACATAAGGTATATGTATTTTTTGTTTGTTTAGTGTTTGTTTAGGCAAAGAAGGAAGTATACAACAATGTTAAGAGCTATGTTTGTGTCATATGATACAAGATATAAAAACAGAGGGCCTATACTTCAATCATCACCAAAGACCTATAATATGTAATGTTTACCTGCCCGGAAAAATGAACACCAATTTTGTTTTGGCTTCACATGCAGAAACCCTGCTAGTTCCTAACTTCAGAGCAAACTACTGTGTTTATTAATTGTGTGTGTGTGTGGGCGGGGGGTGTGGTCTGACATTAAGCATTTAATGAGTCTCCTTAAGCAGAGGCCCTCTGTACACATCAAACAGCTGTTGGACTTTGGCTGCCCTCCCATCCTCTCTGTGCCGGTGTTTCAATCACTGTAAGCCAAGAGACACACATTAGGTCTAATTTGTTTGCATTTATCGTGTCCTCATTGCGATGATGTATGAACATAAAGGTGTTTCACCAGCTCAAAGTCTAATGCAGGCACCACTTATCTTGGCAGATATTCGGACAGTTTCTGTCAAATTAAAAAAAAATTGCACTCCAAGCAAATTGATCTCACGTATGAAGAGATTACATTGCTGGATGGTTGGATTCTACTTTATCTAGATCTGCGAACAACTACAGATAATTATAGATATTTACAAACAGATTGTTGTTTTGTATGTTCTGACTGTGTTGATTGAATCAATCAGGGGAGGTTTTTTTTTGTTGAGATCCCAGACTGGATCCATACTCCACCAACCTTTAAGAAAACATATTTGATACAGTTGGAAAGGTCACCAGAACCATTAGACAAAGTCTCCAACCTTCTGCTGGATGTGTTGCCTGATGTTGCAACACAAAAGGAAAGGCAGATTAAAAATCTTTCACCTATAGCTGCAGGACAACTTTCAAGCTGTCACTGCATTGTGACGCAACAGCTGTACCCACCAGGCATCAAACCATGGTGTACCAGACTCTCAACTACGTTTATCCCTGTAAATTGACTTCTGGTGCTGTCTGAGCGCATTTTCACTCCTGCTATGTCAGTGTCAAATGAACTGGGGAAAAATAGACAGTTGTAGACAGAAGACAAAACAGTTTTGTAGAGATTAGAAATCAGAAATCAGAAACAACTGTTTCTGTCTTTGGCTTTGGAAAGACTGAACGTTATGAAGCTAGCAATTGTTCATTAAACTAAAGTAAATGCCTTTTTGGGACAGGATACAAGGATTTTTTTTTTATTGTCAGACCTCACATGTATCACAAGTATCAAATTGAAATTCAAGGAGCCTGAGTTATTTATGAATCATTAATAAACTAGACTAATATATTAAAACAGAAAATCTCCAGTTTTGCAGAAAGTGTGTGTGTGCATGAGGTAGTTGTGTTTTCTGACACTAAAGCACAATGCTTTACCAGAGTTAGGCAGACCAAGAATATTTTATTTTTTAGACATCTTGAGGATGTCAGACAATGTTTGGAAACTGTGGGAACATACACATCACTCTATTAGTGAGAACAAAAATAAACAACAACATTGAAAAAATGCAAACTAGTGCAAGTTCATTATTGATGCAGAAATGATATGTTTGTTTTTCAGGTAAATTGTGTTAACAATATACATATACATCTAACACATGCATTCTTTATCTGCAGGGTAAAGGAAAAATTCACTGTGTTGTTTTTAATATCTGCAGGGTAAAGGAAAAATTCACTATGTTGTTTTTAAGGTTTTTTGTGTGTGTGTGTGTTTTCAAGTGCTCCAAGACTTACTCAAGTCAGTTCCTGGAGACCTATGATGCCCACAGAATGTCAGTGCACGCTGTAAAGTGGAACCACTTCCACTCGAAGGTTTTCATCTCCTGCAGTTCAGACTACACTGTCAAGATCTGGGATCATACCATTAGGTAAGAAACTTTCTTGTGTACTGTGTTAAGGTACTTAGCTGTTAATGTTGAGCATAAATATAATTTATGTCTGTAAAATGTAAAAACAGGGCCTGTTTATTTGAACACCTTGCTGATATACCCACAGGAATTAAAGAAAGACTTGCATGAGGATCTTCTTCAACAGCTCTAAGTCTCTCTCTTGTTTTAGTTCTTCAAAGCCATCTATTGTCACTTTGTGGAAAAGAGTTTAGTTGTTCTAGAGGTTTATTTTATTTGGTTAAAAAAATAATAATTTCAGACCAAATTAGTAAAATTGGATAACTTTGACACAGCTATTATGTTTGGTGCGAAGCAGCCAGCAACTGTCAGGGACTGGGATTTTTGTGTTCTTTTGTTTTGAGACTATTTTTTAAATTATTGACTTTTATATAACGAACTGTGTATTTTCAACTGTTCTTGTATTTAAATTAAAGCTAATGATGTAAATTACCCTTAACAGAGCCTGTATTACAGGCTGTAAATGGTTACAGAAAATGAAGTGCAGTTTTGGACTAATGTTTTGATGTTTCATCATTGAACCGGGAACAATATACCATTATTTTTATTATTTTTTTATATTTCAACATTATTACAGTGTATTTTTATCGCATTGTTTAGTCATCATGAGTGCTGCATAAGTCTGCTTTGAATACCTCAGTGAACCAGAGACAGCTACAGTGAATAATGATAGTAATCATCAGCCCATTGTGAGTTTTTAAGAATGATGCACAACTTCCTATGGATAGCAGCAGTATTGTTTTCTAAAGAACAAACACTTTTTAAATGTTTTTTTTAACCACTTTGTTCAATAGCGACACTGACAACCGTTAATTTATTTGAGGATTCAGGAACCAGAAACGGTACCACGTGAAGCTTTCAAATGACTCTCTGTCAACCACAAGAATGAACCAGAGGCTCTGTAATAACACAATAGCGCTACATTGAGTCTTTTAATGATTCAAGGTTAATATAAAAACCATTAGTGTCGTAGTGCAACTGATGCCATGTGGAAAAACAGCAGGAGATAATTCTTTCAGCCAAGATGTAACATGTACTTTTTATAGATGTAGGAGAGAACAATAGTTTGGGTTCTTAAAAGAGTGGGTACTGGACGTTTTGACTTTTTTGTATAGGGTGGCGTTTTAGCTCATAGGCAATTTGTCTGTCTGTGATGCAAGAGACCTAGGTTTAAATCCAGGTGCGGCAGAAAAACATTGTCCTAAAAATCCAAGCCCTTTTTGTTATTCTAAATGATACAACAAACCTACTGTGCTTCACATCTTTGAGCGGTGATTGCTACGTTTTGGATCTTACATGAGTTCTGAGGTTTTAGAATCCTGAGTTTGCAGGGTTCACAATTTGGATGCCTCCAGGGGGGAGAAGTTGTTTTGAAGTCTCTTCTCCTTTTGAAGCTCCTGTAGCGCCTCCCCGAGGGCAGGAGAGCAAATAGACCGTGACCAGAGGGAGAATTTCTCTTTAGGATGCTGCTGGCTTGGCTAAGGCAGCACGAGTTACAGATGGTTTCCAACGAGGGCATGGGCCAGCCAATGATTTTCTGTGCTGCTGTGATGACTTTCTGGAGGGCTCTTCTGTTTGCAGCTGAGCAGCCAGTGATCACACACAGTGATGCAATCGACCAGCGCAGACTCCACAGTGGAGTGGAAAAATGTCATTAGCAGATTGTCTTTCAGGTTGACTTTTTTGCAGCTCCCTCAGAAAGTGCAGACACTGATGGGATTTGTTAAAATGTCTTCAACAGGGGTCCTCAGTGGTGGGGTCACTTACACTGCACCTTCACATGTTTAAAATAATTATACATGTTTATTATTATGTGGCACTTTGGCCCAGAGGCAATGTCTCTGTCATTGGTGTGGAACCCCAGGGCAAGATTGAATCCTGGTTAGGGCGGTTGGTACCTTCTAATGAACTCACCACCCGCAGGAAGGTTCAGGGGGGTTGGTACAGTGCAATGTGATCTGGGTGGTGGTCATGGAGACTGCTGCCCCCGCGACCCGGTAACGTATAAGTGGATGAAAATGGATGGATGGATGGGGTGTATTATTATTATTGAATTATACCAGAATACTTGTCAACTACTACAGGGTCTGTAAGGTCCACTCTACATTTATTTGCATTTCATACACACAAATCCCAGAACGTTGTTTCTATTTACTGACTCATCTACTGGTGTAAAACCGTGGTATCAATTAACATTTTTATCTTCAACATTTAGATTCAAACATCATCAGACTCTCTTAAACAGAAGTGTGTCAAAATAAATCAGGCTCTAGTTTATCATTTTAAGTTCCGTCATTAACAAATCATCTGTCTCTCTCACTGTCTTTTTCTCTGTTACACATCTTTTGTTTTGTTTTGTTTTGTTTTTCAGCAATCCAATGTTCACCTTTGACCTGAATGCAGCAGTTGGAGATGTTTCCTGGTCTCCATATTCATCCACTGTGTTTGCGGCTGTCACAACAGATGGAAGAGTAAGTGAACCTCAATAGATGCTGCAACCCTGAGAAGGTAGAATTTTTTAGAACAAAATATATATATGTCTTTTTCCCTCCCTCTCTCTCTCTCTCTCTCTCTTTTCCTGCAGCTAAAGAGTTTGTTGAAACACAATTTAAAGTAACGAATAGCGATTTCTGTCCTGACATCAGATATTGAACCCGGTTAAATGAAATTTCAGTGGATGCCACGCTGCTTATCTCCACATATTTTCTTAGTATGGCTGCAAACTGTCACCATCTGTTTGTCTGTCCACAAATCTGGCCCGTGCTGCAGAAGTCCAGAGTGTTGTGTCTGACACATTTCCTGTCCGCTGTGCCAAGTGAAGTCAATTGAGAGTGACAGAGAGGAAATGAAATGTGAGCCCACCTTGTGCACAAGTGCGTGCCTGTGTGCTGACGTTCCTACCTTTAAAAAAAAAAGCTTGTTGTTTTCATATAAACAGGTTTGATTTAGAAAGCAAATTAACTCTCAGGTTGAATCTAATGGATTTTCAGAAACTGTGTCAAAAGCAGTTTTCAGAAGCTTTTAAAAACTAATTAAAATTTTATCAGTGTGCATTTTACTAGCACAATATTCTGCTGCTTCCTGGGCCGGGGGAGAACACGAATATTAAATGGGTGTCCGTGAAGGTCAGTTATTCTTACAGTGGTTTATAATGACTAAGCACTTGGTGCTCAGTCTTTATATAAAATACTGAGACGCTCATAAAATATATTTTACATTTTGTAGTAGATTCTACTGTATTTTTTTATTTTCTATGGTCTACCATCTGTGTGAGAAGTGACTTAGTTCACCAGGTATTTTGGAACCTAAAAAATGTATTCTAATTGTATTACTATTTTTTAAGAGGTTCCAGCCAGTGGAGATGAGTTTGCATGTTCCTTCCATGTGTGCATGGGTTTTCTACTTGTTCTCAGGATCCTTGCCTCCATTCTCAACATAATCTGTGCAATGTTTGCACCATTTCCTGTTTGATATTTGGTGTCAGTCAGATTTGAAATCATAACGGTTCATCATCAACAGTCACACGTTCACCAGTGTGGTCACACTGCGTGATGTTAATCAGCATAATTTTACCTACTTTTCATCTGGGACAAGTGTCTGGGTGACTCAGCTGGAGATGTGAGCAGCTTGATGTGTGTTTACAGATACTGTTGATGACGACCTTTCTGTGGATGAGTGTGCATGTGCCTGCCTCATGAAGATAATGACTTGCCTGACAGCCTATGGTGTGAGAATGATTTGGCCTGGTGCTGCACAAAAACACATATCTTTTAGTACTCTCTGTCCTCACTTCTCCGTCTGAGCCCACTGTAGAGCTGTAAAGTGTAAAGTGTCTGGATGGAGTCATAACAGGAGAAACTTTTGCCCTTCTAATTAGCCTCTAAATCCAAACTTGCCTTACTTCTCCTCTTTATTTTGGCCCTAAAGTTTGCGTTAAATACTGTGGTACTCTTCCTAGGCATGAAACCATACTGTTGTTCACAAATCTCCACTTCCTGCCTCAACCTAGCTTCAACTACTCGTTCCCAAATCTTCATTGTATGGCTCATCAACTTTATCCCTCTGTAGTTGTTACAACTCTGTGCATCACCCTTCTTATGAATTGGCACCAGAACACTTTTTCTCCACTCATCAGGCATCTTGCCAGTCTCTAAAATTCTGTTAAACAAACCAGTCAGGAAATTTACTGCCACTTCTCCTAAACACTTCCATACTTCCACTGGTATGTCATCAGGACCAACTGACTTTCCACTCTTCATCCTCTTCAGGGCTTTTCTAACTTCATCCTTTCTAACCTGATCTACCTTCTTCCTACTAGTCTCTGGCTCCTCGTTTCTACTTTCCCTTTCATTTTCCTCATTTAACAACTCCTCAAAGTATTCCTTCCATCTTCTCAGCACACTTTCCTCACTTGTGATCACATTCCCCTCTCTGTCCTTAATCAACCTCACCTGCTGCACATCCTTCCCAGCTTGATTTCTCTGTCTCGCCAATCTATACAACTCCTTTTCTCCTTCCTTTGTTTCCAAACTCTCATACAACTCCTCATATGCCTTTTGTTTGGCCTTGGCCACTTCCCTCTTCACCTCCCTTGTCCTCTCTTTGTACTCCAGTCTGTTCTCTTCTGTTCTGTCACTGTCCCATCTCTTCTTCGCTAATCTCTTTCTCTGCACACTCTCCTGGATCTCCTCATTCCACCACCAGGTCTCTTTGTCCTCCTTTCTCTGCCCAGAGGACATACCTAGCACCTTCCTACCTGTCTCCCTCATCACTGCAGCTGTAGTCTCCCAATCATCTGGGAATATCTCAACACTACCCAGAACTGCCCTTACTTCCTTCCTGAAGTCTTCACAACATGTCTCTTTCCTTAGTTTCCACCACTTGATCTTCTGCTCTGTCTTCACTCTCTTCCTTTTTGTCACCTCCATCGTCATTTTACACACTACCATCCGATGTTGTTTGGCTACACTCTCACCTGCCACCACCTTACAGTCTCTAATCTCCCTCAGATTACATCTTCTACATAGAATATAATCTATCTGTGTGGACCTGCCTCCACTCTTGTAAGTCACCCTATGTTCCTCTTTCTTTTGGAAATATGTGTTTACCACAGCCATTTCCATTCTCTTTGCAAAATCTACCACTGCCTGTCCTTCTACGTTTCTCTCCCTAACACCAAACCTGCCTATCACTTCCTCATCTCCTCTGTTCCCTTCCCCTACATGACCATTTAGGTCTGCTCCAATCACCACTCTCTCTCTCCTGGGGATACTCTCTACCATCCAATCTAGCTCCTTCCAGAACTTCTCCTTTTCTTCCAACTCACAGCCCACCTGTGGGGCATAACCACTAACAACATTAATCATCTCTCCTTCTACTTCTACCTTCACACACATCAACCTGTCTGACTCTCTTTTCACCTCTACCACATTTCTTACATATTCTTCCTTTAGGATCACCCCTACTCCATTTCTCTTCCCATCTGAACCATGATAAAACAGTTTGTAGCCTCCTCCAATGTTTCTAGCCTTACTGCCCTTCCACCTGGTCTCCTGCACACACAAAATATCTACTCTTCTTCTCTCCATCACATCAGCTATTTCTCTACTTTTCCCTGTCATTGTACCTACATTCAAAGTTCCAAACTTCAGACTAACACTTCTATTCTTCATCTTTTCTCTTTTTCTCCTAACCAAACGCCCTCCTCTTCTTCTCTGTCTCTGACCAACAGTAGTCCAATTTCCATCAGTGCCCTGTTGGTCAACGGCACTGTTGGCGGTCGTTGTTAACCCGGGCCTCGACCGATCCGGTATGGAAATCGTTTTATTGATCTGCATATTTGATTTAGCTAAACGTTTTACGCCGGATGCCCTTCCTGACGCAACCCTCACCATTTATCCGGGCTTGGGACCGACGCTATAAACACGGCTTCGTGTACTCTAGTGGCTGGCTTTGCGTTAAACAATAGTAAAGCTCAGTAATGGACCGTATTTACACAGGGATTTAATTGCCTCATTAAACACTGTAGCTTTGTCCTATTCCCCATTAAAAAGTGTAATTTAGAGAAACCAGTAGAAAATAGGCTTTGTCCAAAACATCTGTACTGTTTTTCTAGGTCAAACATATTATTTGTGAAAACAGAATACAATATGGTATTTTATTTTATCCATAATAAATACATTTCAAAATTTTAGATTTGATTGAATTCGATATCACAGTAAAGGAAATATTTGGTGATTTTTTTTTTACATAAATCATAGATACACTGTTAGGTTCTTGGTCTAATGCAGTGGATCCCAAACCTTTTCACAAAGTATACCTCTTGGAAAAACTTCTTATGGACCCCCTAGTTGCGGTTTGCGTACCCCCAGTGGTTCACCACACTCTGAGAATCCCTGGTCTAATGTATGCAGCATTTCTTCTAACAAATTGAAATCATGCAACACCTTAGGTTAAGCAGAAAATACTGGATAAAACTGATATTATTATTGTATGACAGTGTTATACAGTCTGTCACTGCAATTAATCTTGACTTACAGGTAACAGCCAACTTATAAAAAAACACTGCTTTCAGGAGTTTATTGGCAAGGCCTTTCCAGCAATCGTCAGCCAAAAGAAACATCCTGGGCAGTTCTCCTGTTCATCACAGTGTGGACTATAAAGACAAACAAAGGTTTTTCTGCTCACACTACTGTGAGATAAAGCATCAAATTAACCAAACCCTGCATGGTTTTCAATAGTGGGACGAAAAGGAGTTCCCTGAGAAAAAAAAAACATGTGGACATGTGTGGACAACAAATCTTTGTATAGCTGCCATGCCTACCAGTCCTGTCCTGTCTCTCCTTTTTTAAACACATTACATTAATACGCATATTTCAGCTAGAAAACTGCAGATAATGATTGTAGTAATTGAGGTTACCCTGGCAGTTTATATTGATTGCTTTTTATAATTGTGATTGTAAAGTTCTGTTGCCGTCGGCACAGTTATTTGTCTAACTAGAGCTCCCCGATGTGGTTTGCAATTCAACATTTTGTCATTATCTAAAATCCCTTATCCTGGAGGTGAAATACAAGTGCACACATTGCAAATATCAGGATATAACCTAAACACACTGTGGGACTGAAGTGCACAGTCATTGGATTACTGATAACATCCTTCCATGCACCAGATGGTCAGGCTTGCATCCCTGCAGGGGCTTTTTTCACATAAGACACATCACACTCTGAGGATATGAAAAACAGTCTGTACTAACAGATTTAGCCTTTACTCAGTCTGGAAGCTCACATGCATACTAATACCCAACATTTTCAACAGTGAGTCAGTGAAAAAGACCAGTTATTATAATGCATTAGTGCAGAGTCAAATCAAGGTGAGAACTATGAATCACACACATCAAAAACTTTTAATAGACATTATAAATACTGTTTGTTGTTTTATTCTCAGGTTCATGTTTTTGACCTCACTGTCAACAAATATGAGGCCATTTGCCAACAGGCAGTGGTGACAAAAAAGGCAAAGCCGACTCGCATCGAGTTCAACCCCATCCATCCTATCATCATAGTTGGAGATAACCGGGGCTACGTCACTAGTCTTAAACTCTCCCCCAACCTTCGCAAGAAACCTAAGGTAAGAGTCTTTGCAGAGTTTCCGCAGACGGAATGAAGTAGATATCGATCTTATTTTCATTTGTGTACTTGCTGATACCAGGTACTATATGTCTCTCTGGAATAAATATGCAGTAAATGGGAAAGCAGTGGGAAATGATCACCTTTAGTCAAAAATCAATAAGATATTTTAAAACTAACACTATTGTCATGTTAGGCAAACTATTAAAAACAAAAGGTAAAATAAATTAAGAATAGTATTTCAAAATATTTAGATAAAATGAAACTTTCTGCATCGTCAACACAGCCAACTGAACAGAAAGTGAGCAGAGCTTTAACACACAGTTCCCAATAGTCAGAAAAATGAGGGCTTCGTAGCTACGGTGACAGTGCAGACGTGGAGATAAGTACAGAAGGAGAAAGGAAGCACAGGAAGGTGCTAAGACAGGAGGTGCTCATTCCAAGTCATTCCACCAGCGTGGAACGACTTGTGAGAAGAGCCTGGATTGTCTTGTGCGAGGGGTTTAGACCATCAGAGGACAATCCCTAGATAAGCTGAGTGGTCGTGTGCTAACATAAGCCTTTATCAGAGTATTTAAGTAGGTAGAAGCAGACCCATTTAGTACCTTGTAGGCTAGCATTAGTGAATTGAATTTTTTTGAATTAGCTCAGTGAACAGAGGGGTGACATGTGCCCTTTTAGGATGATTGAAGACCAGTTGGCCACCGCGTGGCATTAGCACTGGCCGACAAGTGTCCAGCTGGTTGTTGTGAAGAGCCGCTATGGATTATCTGTTAGCTCGATCAGTTTTGAGTACAAGTATGACTGGGTCAGGAAACTCCGGTACCAGTATCAGTACCTGTTACTACCCGACTTTGTGGTGCAAATACGAAGTTTCCATGTCTTCTCTTCTGCTACTTTGTCCTCAGTGTTAAGCCTTATTAGTGCAGACAAAAGAAAGCTTATCCTCAGTTTATATACACCCAACTCTCTACTCATCCCATAGTAATCATTTTTGTTCCCTTCACTCTTATCACCAAACAGGGTGCAACTTTAGGCTTTTGCATGATTTGTGCATGTTCACCCTCTGATGCACGTTAAGCCCTTTTGCATTATTCATCATGCTCTCTGTTGCACATTGACGAAAAGCTGATTTGGAAGTTTTAATCCTCGCGGCGCCTTGGCCCTGAGCTAATTTTGTGTAATAACAATGTAACCAAGCCTTTTGGTCCATTCACATCGATGAGTCATTGAAGGCCACGTTGCCGCTGATGACAATGATTAATAAGCTGTGAAGTAATCACAGCAGTTCTACTAAACACAGGAGGAAATCAAATGGCACGATGACTAACAACACGCTCATCAGGGTCCATGTAGAGTTAGCTCTGACGCCAGATTTACTCTGTATGCGTTGCATTTTCACACCTAACTGTGTAATATGCATACAGTTTACATGCACGGATGGAGACATTAGCAGCACTCTAGCAGCGTCTGTGATTCTCATCAGCACAATGAATAGGCATAAGCATTTCCACACTCTCTCATCACTGACCCCAGGCGAGAGCCCAGGCGGCAAAATTGGAAAATAATTGCAGAGATCAGCACTGCTGACACTGCTCTTAGTATTTGGAGCCCAGTGTGTAAACTAAGCATTACAGACAAACACCCACAGCAAATAACACCATTGACAGGTCCGATGGAGTCACTGCGGCAGCCCGATCAAACTACAACACTGGTAGTAGTAGTACACTACATTTTTATTTTCTCAAATTCCCTTTGTCCCGGATCAAAAATAAACCTCTGAAAACCACTCGTGCAGCCTCCACACCATTTACCACTTGTGCTCGTCATGAAAACAGCTTTTTAGAAATTCAGACACGTTGCTGTGTTGCATTTGTATAAACAATTATTTATACTTATCTTTGTAGCTCTTCTTCTATGAGATCACTTAACTTTGTCCCAACAGCTCAATTACGCAAATATTATGGTGAGCTTTTTAGGGTTTAAAAAAAATCCTGTAAGTATAATGGCATCAGTTTAGTGACTACGTCAGTGTATGCAGCAGTACTTGATTCACCTATACCTAACTAACACCCAACTATGTCCGCTGTTAAACTATTAAAAAGGTGAAAAGGAAAAAGAAATTGCAATTGATCCAATGAACTGTTTTAAAATGGAATATTAACTTAAGCAACAATGTGGTAGTTGAAGTACACTGTGGTGTATTACTGCATCACAGTTAGAGTGTTTTAAATAATAAATATGTCAATAATAATAATAGTGATATGTTAAGACATTTCCTGCAAGTGTCCACAGCTTTGTCAGCCTGCTTCTCTCCCTGACTAATCAGTCGATCACACTCACCTGTGTCAGCCTGCTTCTCTCCCTGACTAATCAGTTGATCACACTCACCTGTGTCCACTGCCCTGCGTGTGTAGTTTGGACTCATTGGTTTCACCTGGTGTTGACACCTGTGCAACAGCCAGGGCTTTTGGTTGGTTGTTTGTTTTTGTGTAGTAAAATACTATATATCTGGCAAAGGTTGATGTCTGACCGAAAACATTTTTAACTTTATATTCTTATACAGCATGTTTTTTTATATTAATGGAAATAAACCTGAGTGTAAATAGAAAAAAAATCAAGAACGCCGTTTTCCTAACTTATGTTTCACATTTAACTGAAAATTGTCAAATTT